ATAGAAGGCTAGGCTCATCGAGAGCCAGGTAAGGCCTGCTATAGAAGGCTAGGCTCATCGAGAGCCAGGTAAGGCCTGCTATAGAAGGCTAGGCTCATCGAGAGCCAGGTAAGGCCTGCTGGAGAAGGCAAGGCTCATCGAGAGCCAGATAAGGCCTGCTAGATAAGGGCAGGCTCACAGATTCTTGCTTACTAAATAGGGATGTAACGATACACTCAACTCACGATTCGATACGATTCTGAGTTCACGATACGATTTTCTCATGATTTTTTTAACAGGATGAGCTGCAGACAAATTTATTCAAAAATGTTCCTTTATCTTTCTAAACTGTGCAAAAAGTGTCCTCTTCTTAACAGTGCAACTGAAATCCTGTTTAAAAAAAAAAAATGTTTTTTTTTTAATTCTTCAAATAACTAAACGATAATGCTTTACATTAACTGCACCTTCATAATGCTTTTATATTGCATTCATAAAACGTTCAGTACACCTTCATAATGTATTCATTAGGTATTCAGAAATCATTCATAAACATCATGCATGTATACCTTTACATAATAACATCCCTTAACAGCTGTAATATACATTAATAACAAACATTATATAATAATAACAAACATTATAATTCTATAATCATGTAATGTTTGTTATTAATGTATATTAATGCTGTTAAGGGATGTTAGGATGTTAAAGTGTACTTGCATGCTGCTTATGAATGTTCTATGAATGCATTATGAAGGTGCACTGAATGTTCTATAAATGCATAATGAATGCATTATGAGGGTGCACTTAATATAAAGCGTTACCAAATAAACTAAGGCTTGCATGTGCAGCTTTTTAGCGTGGTTCGCCCTTTTAATAATCTTTGCTCTCGGTGGTGAATTGAGCTCACTGTGGTGCTGGTGGACATGCTGAAACTTCCACTTTCTGCCGTGAAAATGCAAATTTCCCACTTGTGGGACTAATAAAGGATTATCTTATCTTATTGTTCATTGTGCTATTTGTGTATGTTATCAGTATTTTACAATGTTTGCACGCAGTTTTTGTCTTGTCTGCGCTTTTCTTGCCGTTTTCGTTTGTGATTACCAGAAAGCTAAATTGCTGCCACACGGCCGATTTAAGATCAGGGGGTGTGTGCTCAATTTCAAATTCGCTCACCATCTCGCGTTCGGTCAAAACCAAAAACTAACATACGACATCAACGTGAATACGCAGACGAACTGACATTGTGAAATCAAAGTAATATTACATCAGTTTTTCTGTTAAGTAAAGTACTTCTAAAGTAGCAATTCATTTTCCACATCAGCCGGTTTAAATCGTCATACATTTACATCGATTTTTAACCGATTTGAGATTCATCGTTACATGCCTACTACTACAATGCCGATCCGTCTACTGCCTATCCCTCCACATGTAGGTGAGGGAGAGCCAAGCCAGGAGTGAGCTGCTGGAGGAGGAGCGCAGGAAGCGGGAGGAGGCAGAGAGGAGGCTAGAGGAGGAGATGATGTTGAGACAGCAGCTAGTGGAGAAGGAGGTGAAGATGAGGGCCAGGAACCTGTCTCAGGTGGGGCTGGGCTGGGTCTCTGACAGCAGCACCGTCTCTTATCAGGAAACCACATTCTCAGCATTTGTCTCACAGGCCCTATCTAAAATACATTTTTATGATGATAATTTTTATAATTTGCTAGTGTTGACCTTGACTAAGGTCACAGCTAGCAGTGTGAGAAGTGAGCCTTTGGCAGCCATGGCTGTGAGTGACACGCCAGATCTCTGCACCTGCCCATAACCGCCAGGCCCTCGTATTCCACTTCCAGGCGCGTCCCATGACCCGCTACCTGCCCAACCGCAAGGAGGAATTTGACCTGCGCTTGCACATCGAGTCCGCCGGCCATAACCTCACCGGCTGCTATGACTTGATGCTCACCGAGAAGATGTGCAAGGGCTACCTGGTCAAGATGGGAGGCAAAATCAAGTCGTGGAAGAAGCGCTGGTTTGTCTTTGACCGCATGAGGAGGACCTTCTCCTATTATGTGGGTAAGGCTCACGAACTACAGTGGAAAGTCTGCATGCTATAGAAAGTCTGCACAGTGCAGAATTTTAATGTGATAAAAAATGTAACCAAGACAAATCATATCGCAACTTATTCCACCTATACTGCAAAATTGCAACGTATATAATGAAGGTGAAAACAAACAGAAACTATTTACTGAAAATTTTGGGGGGAAAAAATCATACAAAAACCTGGTTGTGTTATGGAGCTTTTCCACCGCACCAGGTACTGTACTTTTGGTACTTCAAGAAAGTACCAAAAGTAGGGTACTTCAAGATGTTGGCTTTCCACTGGTACTGGCGCCAAATGACATCACAACATGAGATGGGGTATTTTGTACTGAATTTGAAAAATGCCTATAGCTGGGTGATGTGTGATATTAATACCAACATCGCATGTTGTGCACATGCAATTCTTACATTACTATTAAGCTAAATTTAGATCAGGCTTTTTCTCACTTTCAATTCTGTATACGGACAGAGGGAGCACAGGGAGTTTGTTTTGCCAAAACATTTTTACTCTGTTATAGAAAAAAAACTTAGCTAGCATTGCAATTTTAATTATTGCTTTTATTGATTATCTAATATATGTTTAAAAATCAGTTTAAAGTTTACCTCGCTGCTTTTGCATGAGCGACTGTGGCTCTGGTGTGTTTTTTTTATTGTTGTGTTATTTTTGCACAAAACATACCTTTTGGAATTATGGCAGTTACACATCCCAGATTATTGAAGGTTGTACATATTTATGCAGTCAGGTTTTGACTTGGTTTTTATTTTCATTTTTTACCTAAACAGTTTCAGATTTGTTTTCACCTTCTTTGTATAGATTGCAATTTTGAAATAAATGTGGAATAAAGTTCTGACATGATTTATCTTGATTTCATCACACAGCCACCTTTTTAGCAGGGGTGTGTAGACGTTTTATATCCACTGTAAGGCTAATCTGAACACAGGACCTTTGGCCAGCGGATCTCATTCAAATCTCCATATGTGCATCATCCGTCTCCTGTATGAGGGCAGCTCTGGACTCATCCAGTCCATGTACGTGTTGGTTTATTATAATCCATCCATCCATCCATCCATAACTGATTATCCAATTGATTAGGAAGCGGGGGGCTCAAGGCAAGAGAGCACTCTGGAAAGGAAGCCAGCTTTAATATTTAAATTTTATATTCTTAAGGTTTAGGAATGAAGTTACTACACACATCAGGGAGCAGCTTCCTGTTTGCCTTCAGTCAGGCTGGTAACTGATGATGAAATAAGATGCAATACCTTCACACCGTGCTTGTGCGGAGAGCGTGTGCTGAGATACACTCAGGTGCCGCAGCAGGCGACGCGGCACGTCTGAGCGCAGCTCTGGGAGTCACGTCGCCCAGCCGCTCACGGTCTCATATTTTATATCCATATCCTGTCCTGCTTATCCTGTTCAGGTTCACTGATGAAAAAATACCAGGCAATTATTTGTTTGTTACGGAAGTCTGTAGAGGACATGCATAAACTTTTTTTTTTTTCTTTTCGTTATCTCGAGATCACGACTTTTTTTTTTCTTATTTTTTAAGCCGTCATCTGTCAAACGTCACCCGGTAACCATGGAGAGGTCCCGGACTCTCCAGTTGGTTGGTAATGAAACTGACTACTCGTTCAGGCTCACTATAATTTCTCAGACGGTATAGCTGCAAATTTCTGATCCTCCTTCTCAAATGACGAACACTAATATGACAATTTTCTAGCACCGAAACTTATTTCCTCGTATCCATGATTCGGTGCAATATATCTCGACTCTTTTCCCGCAATTTGAAGTCTAACTTGGTTTTACAAACAAGTGCAATATAACCATTTATGATATTGGTGCAATATACTTTTACTTTACAGTGCAATATACACTTTTACTTTTCTTGTAACTTTTGGACAAATGTACTTTAGATTCCTATACAGACATTTTCTATCTTATTTTATTTTAATTTTATTTATTAGAATGTTTAACAGTGCTGTAATTTGTTTTACCCTTCATTCCTATTTTTATACTTGTATTGTTCTTCGGGTTTATATGTGATTGTGCAGTCGCAATGTGAGCAGTTTCTTCCGGGATTAATAAAGTCTTCTGATTATGATTGTGATTGTGATTCTGACTGTGATTGGGACAGTCCTCGATCAAAGTAAAATCTGATTCAATCGTCCATGAGGATAATACTAAACCTCGAGATCATGGGAAAGTGACATGGGTTATGTCAAGATCACAAGAAAAAAAATAAGTCGTGATCTCGAGAAAACGACTTTGGTTATGTCGAGATCACAAGAAAAATAAGTCGTGATCTCGAGAAAACAAAAAGGGAAAAAAAAAAGTTTATGCATGTCCTCTACAGACTTCCGTAGTTTGTTTACCTTGGTGCGCTGTTAAAATGGAACAAATTGTACATTTCGAAGAATGGATGTTTTATTTATAAAAAAAATAATATTGTTTGTTGCTGCAACAACTACGAATAACTGTAATTTAAGGATGTAATTACAAAGCATGTTTTGAATAAAGATTCGCCTTTTGTTCTGACGGCACCCCTATGCCCTGTCACATTCTGTGCTCAAACTTCTCATAGCTGTGTTGTGCAATGTTTTTATAGTGTTGTAAGATTGTTACTTGTTCTTGCTAGATGTCTCTCTGCGATTTCGTAAAATTGCATTATGTTTGACCCCCAGACAAGCACGAGAGCAAACTAAAGGGAGTCATTTACTTTCAAGCCATCGAGGAAGTCTATTACGACCACCTACGCAGCGCGACCAAGGTGGGTCCCGCCTCCTGCTCAGTCACCATTCATCCTGCAATCAGCTTTAAAAGCTTAGAGAAACAAGATATTTACACATTATGTGCTATAATTTGGGGTTTTATTTCTTGTTTTTCCTGTTACTGTGGTTGGCTGGCTTCTCAGAAAGGACTTTTCAACCTGAATTTTGCCAATGTATGTATCACAGCCCAGGTGAATAACTAACACACTGCATCCTTTTGCTGACTTTCCTCTTTGGCTGCAATTAAATTATGGGTTAAACTAATAAAAATGCAGTTTAAGAAAATCATTAAAGAACTTCTTTCAGGGCTTCCAGTTCAATTGACAATTATATTAGATTGAACTGGTGGATTCATAGATTAAATCTCATATCATGAAACTTACTGTAATTTTACTGGTTGACTTGCTATGAATTTTAACAATATTAACAAAACAGAAAATGCAGTTGCATGCGTTTTCGTCTCCTTCATTTCATCATTTGTATAATTTAACAAAACTATATATTCACTTCAGTTATTTGTTCATGGGATACAAACGTATCAGTCATTTATTAATTGAGAATGATTAGTATGGAGATACACAGGTGTTCATGTACTAGTGTGTGACCCTCGCGCAGCGTCACTCTGGCCACGTCCCCGCAGCTCATCTTGGGGTTGCAGCCTCCTTTGTTCGTTAGAGAGTCCAGGTGGTGCCACGCTGTGTGGATTCCTGTAGGGGACACCCAGGACACCAAAAGCTGGCCTTTGCTGTTACCCCCCCTTCACCCACCCAAAGAAGTACTCAGAAACATATAGTAACTTCCAGCTATTTGACACACATTCAGTATTAGCACATATATAAAGGTGTATAACAGTGTATGATGGTGTATGACTGTGTCTGGTGGTGCTTGACCGTGCATGATGATGTGTAATGGTGCATGACCATTTATGACGGTGAATGATGATGCGTGATGGTGCATGACCATTTATGTTGGTGCATGACAGTGTATAACGATGTATGTCCATGAAGATGCTGTAGTATGGTGTATGGTCGATGCATGGCGATATATGACCATGTATGACGGTGCATGACCATGTATGGTGATGTATAACCGTGTAGCTGCTGTATGACGGTGGATGGTGATGTATGATCATCCAGTAAAATACTGCTTAAATAAAAGTAAAAAACACCTGGTTTTAAAACTAATTAAGTAAAAAGTACTCTACATTAAAATGTATTGATCTTACAAAAACCAACCTATCCTTTTAAATTCACTTTGAGTATTTGAGTACAGCATTGCTGCACAATGCAAAATAATGACAACTGAGTCGCATATTTTCTTTTTATTCCGAAAAAGTGGTGAAACTTGACATGCTTACTGGCACGGATGAGTGGAATGACTTTTCATTCTGTGGAAAATGAAAGATCAATCTGTGGTGCAGATTTAATAATGAATTATAAACATTTCGTGGGCAGGTACTTTTAGGCCTCTTATAAGTGATGAATGAGACAGCTAAGACCCTCGTCCTCCACTACATCAAATGGCAGTGAAATCATCACCATTATTGTAATAGTTGTGTCTTTAGTGGTCATGCTGCTCACTTTTAATATTGATAAAGTTTAAACATTGGCCGGCAATATCGGAATGTTGAATATATATTGTGCATCTCTACGTAGTTTCTTCCATCTTCACAGAACAATATGTAATGCAAAGTAATAATAATAAAGAAATAAATGTCTTGCTCAAGAATCACAAGATATTTGTAATCTTGGTTCTGAATGATTCAAATTTCACCTAGAATTGTGCCACCCTATGTCAGGTTCACTGCATGAAATATCTATATATTTATTTATTGATACATTCTTCACTCACACAACAGAGTAAAAAGTCGTTATTTAGTTTGAAAAATATCTAAGTGAAAATTAGGTGCAACAGTTTAAAACACATCACACCTCTGATGCCACTTGCGCAACCCCCCCAATAGCCACGGGCTGATACCTACATGTTGTGGCCTTTCTAAGACTTAACGAATCTGGCCTGTTTGGGGTTAAACTTGATGTGTCATGGTGAATTCTTAAGAACTTTGATATGTATGGTTTCCATATATATGAATTCTCAATCTCAAAAATAAAAACAATGTCTATCTTTTAAATGCAGAGGTTTAATTTAATGTTCATAGTAGAATGGCGTTTATTGACAACCTTGGACATGGTACCGCAGCAGCATGTGCTGGTGATGCATCGGTGTCGTGTCGGCATCGGTGCCGTGTTGGTATCGTTGTTCTGTTGGCATTGTTGTCCTCTCAGCATCGGTGTCGTGTCGGCATTGGTGTCGTGTCGGCATCGGTGTCGTGCCGGCATCAGTGTCCTCTCGGCATCGGTGTCCTGTCGGCATCGGTGTCCTCTCGGCATCGGTGTCCTCTCGGCATCGGTGTCGTGCCGGCATCGGTGTCCTCTCGGCATCGGTGTCCTCTCGGCATCGGTGTCGTGCCGACATCGGTGTCCTCTCGGCATCGGTGTCCTCTCGGCATCGGTGTCGTGTCGGCATCGGTGTCCTCTCGGCATCGGTGTCCTCTCGGCATCGGTGTCCTGTCGGCATCGGTGTCCTGTCGGCATCGGTGTCGTGTCGGCATCGGTGTCGTGTCGGCATTGGTGAGCTTCATCAGTAAACATCAGCTAAGCCTCCTTCTGGTTTGCTTTCAGAGCCCGAATCCTGCACTGACCTTTTGTGTGAAGACGCATGACCGGCTCTACTACATGGTGGCTCCATCCTCGGAGGCCATGCGCATCTGGATGGACGTCATAGTAACGGGTGCAGAAGGGTACACACAGTTCATGACCTGAGAGCACCTCACTCTTTGAGGCTGCAGCAGGTGACAGACTCAGCATGGCATCTGCAGGAGACCTGCTTTTCCGAGGGTCTAAAACCCCATTTTAGGAAAAACCTTATTTTTACTTTTGTTTGTAACACTTCTGTAATTTAAAAAAAAAAAAAGCATTCTTGACAAATTTTGCCTGGGTGAAAAAAGTGAGTTCTGAAGTCAAATGAAATGTAAAAAAACAGTGCCTTAACTCTCACCCAACACAAAAACGCAACAACAAAACATTCCTTAACGAAAAACAACACAATCCACCAAAGCCTTGATATGAACTCAGGGATCATCTCCGTTGCCTTAAAGAATGGTACAAGTTCTAACCAATAAATGGGATTTTGCTGTCTGAGAATGTTACCAGTGAGCAGGTTTAAGTATGCAAGCAGTTACAGAAGATGTAATGCAGCCCTTGGGCCTGAAGTTGAACTTTGACCCTTTTCTTGATGCTGAAGCAGCATTGCATTTCTGGCAATCTATAGGACTTTGTATACCAGGTGTATGAGAATGGTACTTGGCAGTGCTGTAGCTATGCAATTCATGCTTGTATATGATCATTTGTACCTTTCATACCATAATGATTGCTCCAAGTATTTGACTAAAGCTTGCATAAAGTCTGCTGGGATAGTAGTATTTTTACATGTATATGAAGTTCTTTTGTAATCACGGTTTGTTGACTTTGAGCATGTTTGTGCGGCCCTTGTTAAGCTGAACTGGATGTTTGAATGTGAAGCTACATGCATTGCAGGAGAAGTTCGGCTGGGGCCGTCTGAAGCTCTCATGCTTAGGAAAACATTATACATGTATGCAATATAAAACTGTCGTAACTTTTAAATTTGAATTTAGTACCAACACTGACTGGGTACAGTTTTAAATGTTGCATCATCTGAACTCCTCTCCAGTAGCCTGTGAACACGGTTTGCTTTATTACTTTATTACACTGAATTACCAATTCATATGCCTCTGTCTACAGTGAAAACATAAGGTGAACGCTGGTTAATCTGCTGAATTAATATGAATAATATCAAATGCCAGAATGTTAAATGGTTTCCCTGAAACACCTACATCTATCAGGGTGAAATATTGGCTGCTAAAATGATATCATTTACTTAACTGTGTTTAAGTACGAAGCCTCAAGGACCATTCAAAAGATGTATTTTTGTTAATTGAGAATGTAGTAGCATTAAAATCAATAAAATAAATCTCTGGTGTGTTAGTATCTATATTAGCATAAACACTGAGGGGAGACCCAGAGAAAGTGCTGGAAACATCAGAACTCCTGCACAGTTGATCAGCTTCCTTGCTTGGTCAGGCATCATGGTTAGGGGGCTGGCCCAGCTCTCCAATCACACGGCACCATCCCAGGGGGCTGGCCCAGCTCTCCAATAACACGGTACCATCCACCCTACAGCTCATTTAAGCCGTGGCCTGCAAGAAACCAAAAACCAGATGCTTTTTCCCCTTTCAGTCTCCATCCCATTTTGGGGGAAGCTGGCAGCTTAACCATCTTCTGTTCTGTTCTAATCTCATTCTTATCGCGAGAGGCACGATGCCTCCCAAGCTTTTCCTTGGGAAGTGACATGTGCTGTCACTCATTTTCTTCCATTCTCTGCACACGCAGTCACCACACAGCCAGATTTACATGTTTCAGTAGATCTGGGGCTGAATTTCAATGTACCCGCTCCGCAGCGGTGACAGTTCCGCTGCGTAGGGGTTTCAGCGTCTGACAGTAAGGGTGAGTTCAGCTGGGATGGTGGTAGAATCATTCCCTTTGAACTTTATGGAAAAACCAACCACACTGACGGTTGATTAGTGAAGATCATGTGCGAGAGAACAAAAGGTACTTACTGTCTGCACAAGGGGAGCTGTACTCACTCACAGCTTCATCACCTGTAGATGAGGGTTAGGGTACATTAGCATTCATAGCTGCTTTTTAGATGGCAAATGAGGCTCAAAGCACAGAAGAGCCTGATCAACATTAATCACAGAGTAATTACCAGCTGAAGGTATTCTCATTTTCATTTTATAACTGTAGGTATTATTTTTATTGAGTGCCGTGTTTGTGAAGTTGAAATGCAGGTTTCACTGATTCTTACTTGTCTGGTAGTAGTCGTACACCTTCACCACAGCTGGCTTTCGATTCCGTACAGGTACATCTTCCATTATGGTCAGAGTGTACAAGTTGGACTTCATTTTCTTCAGCTGTACAGATAACAGGCAAGGTGACTGGTCTATATTCTGATTCATATGTTCTGATTGCTGCTACAAATCCCAAATTTGCGTCTTATTTATCCTTCTGGTAGTCCCAATTATTGAAAAATCTTAGGTTATTGAGAGAATAAAAGGACTTCTCTAGCAGAAAACCGCCCTCGTTAGCTTTTTTGGCGAGAAGCTGAGGGGCAATGGGGGCAGTTACATCACACCCAACACCACTTAGCTGCAGATGTTTGTGACAGAGCCGTATGGCTGACGACAGCATTTTTCAGTGCTTATTTTCAGTGGTACTCGTTACGTAGCAGCACAGCCTTAGAATAACACAGTGCCTCCACCTTATTCTAGTTTTACCTCATCCACGTAGAGGATAACATGCCCATCATCCTCTTCTACCCGCTTTACATTGGGCTGGCTTAGCATCTGCAAATGAACAAAGTTCCTGGTCAACTTTTGATCATTAATCCAAAGACCAGATGTGAGAATATTGCTCCTTCTAGTCATCTGCATCATGCCACTCACAGCTTGACGGGAAGGCTTGTCCAGCGAATATCCAGACAGGAGCTTCACCTTTATAATCACCATGTTAGTTTCATCCCGCTTCCCATTGTACCTGTCACAGAAGGATGGTACTGGTCAAGAGTTTGGACAACCAAGCCGTGTGAGAGTGATAGTGTCACATCACATGACCCGGTCCCATGACCTAAAGACAGCAGAAATGGTTCTGGAGAAGTCTGACCAGAGAGTGAAGGAAAAGTGGCCACTGAGTGCTCAGCATATACAGTATGTGTGACCTCCTTCAGGAGCTGGAAAAGCATCCCAGGAGGCCGCCTCATGAAACCAGTATAGAGGAGACAGTAGGGTCAGCCAGTCCCTGGAGCTATTGGGGTTAAGGGCCTTGCATATGGCCCAATGGTGACATCACTCTGCTGACTCAAGGATTTGACCCAGCAACTTTCTGAGTCACAACCCATAGAGCTACCCCCCCCAACAAATTATATATTTTTTTGTTTATTTTTTTGGTAAGTTATGGAAGCGTATTACTGCCATGACATAATAAAAAGTGTGTGTGTGTGTGTATGTGTGTATATATATATATATATATACACAGTGGTACCTCAGAATTCGAACTTAATCCGTTCAGAACTCCGGATCGAATCCTAAAAAGTTCGAGTTCTGATCGAATTTTCCCCATAAGAAATAATGGAAAACCAACTAATTGCTTCCCGGCCCCAAAAAAATTAAACCCTAATATGTTTTATTAGCATTTAAACATGAAACGAACCGGATAAAACAAGAAGAACATATACTGTACTAAACATATCTAAGCACATTTATCAAAACAGTAATTTGTAAAGTAAGAAAATAAATGTATCCAAAATGTGTAAAGTTAAAAAAAACAATGTGTCCTGCCCCGATCGTCCGCTCCTTCCGTGTGCCACGCCCCCTCGTTAACCCCGTGTTGATTCTCCGTGTGATCAGCTGTTTCTGGTTGTTGTCATTAGTCCTCTGTATTTCGTCCACGTTTCAGTTTATTTCCCCAGTCCGGTCATTGTATTGTCTGTCTGCGTTTTGCCTGCCTTACCTGTAATTAAACCCCGTATTCCCCGATACTCTGACGTCTGCGCCTTTGTCTCCGTTCCATACACGTTGGACACGACAATAACATTATAATTAAATGTATTAATAGTTTATTATTAATATTAAAATAATTAATAAGACATCTTTATTTTTAAATGTTACTGTCTATAATTGTCTAAATGTATTTTTACTGTATAAATATATGTATTCAGCTAGTGTAAACATGCACAATGCTATCACAGCGAATACGAGGCTGAGAATGAAGCGTTACCCTTCGTTTCCGCTGGGAGATGTGCCGCGTGACTCATTTCCCCGCGTGTACAAGTTATCTTAGGTTTGTGTTCACGGTTCGACTTCTGAGATTCAGATCGAGTTCTAGGTATTTTTTTTTTTCGAACTGGTTGGTTCTACTTTTAAGAAATTCGAGTTCTAATGAGTTCGAGAACTGAGATACCACTGTGTGTGTGTGTGTATATATATATATATGTGTGTGTATATATATATATATATATATATATATATATATATATATAGACACACACACACTATTTTAGCTTAGATAGATTAGAACGAGACCCAGACGTTGTAAAAAGATTAACATTTTTTTTTTTCGTAAAAAGAAGTGTTACCGTGCATCTGATACACACTTACTATGTAACAAGCGCTTATTGCCAAGTTCATGTCTGCTGTTTTGAACTTTTCAATCGATATTAACAGGTGTTTGACAGCCTAAGTAATAAGCCGTTTTCAGATCCACGACTTATTTTATTAGTTTTATGCTCTATATCTGTACTTTAACAAAATACAATGTCGTATGATGTGTTACATACGTTTTATGAGTTTACATACACAGAAACGTTCATTTACACAAGTTACAAAAGAGAGCTTTCCTTTCACCATTTTCAGTGGTGCGCGTAATTCTACGGCAGGGATGCCTTTTTCGGCATGACACTGCCCATGATCAATTTAATTTTTAATCATATCAGGATAGGTTTTCTTGTTATAACATAATATTTTGATATTATAACGTGATACGGTTTCACGTTAAAACATGATGTTTTCATGTTATAACGTGATATTTTCACATTATCACGTGATATGATTTCTCATTTTAAGGTGATGTTTTCACTTTATAATGTAATAATTTCATGTTATAACATGATAGTGAGTATTTTTTTTTTATTATGTCGTGGCAGTAATACGCTTCCGTAGTAAGTAGATAATTCAATATCTGTTATTTGTTATTTGATATTAGAATAGTACAAGTAAATTGTGCTGTCGGTAGTTTGTGTCCAAACTTGATTAGTACTATATGTAAAAAAAGGAACAAAACTCAAACTCACAACAAAATATTAAAGGATTGCCAAGCTGCGAAAAGCCAAGCCATTATATTGTTTCGGCATTTGTTTAATTAACCTTAAAAGCCAATTTGCCTTTCTATTAATTATTCAGTACTACTGTTATACAATGGTCATTTCTAACACTACCACTCTTTATCCGCTGCTGCTACATTTTCCAGCCAACAAAAGAGGAAGCGTCAGAATGTATTTCCTTTTCGGATGGTGGCATGAAAGCAGATCCGGCACTAAGCTCACCTCACTCCCACAGACACTGTCAAGGGCTTCCTTGAGCTGTTGCACAGCCCATCTGCCTTGGCAGTGATGCTGAAAGCTGAGAAGTCAGCAGGAGCAGGGATGTGGTAATGCAGAGCAATCTGGGCGAGAAAATAACAGGCTGACATGCACGTGTTTTGTTAGAAGACAGAAGACACAGAAGCAGGGGAGTTAACATTTCTTTAATGAATTACCAAAGGGTTATGCCTGGATTTGATTTTTTCAGCTAATCAGAAGTCCAGCATGAACAAAATACAAAGGCTGAAAGGCAGGAGTTATTTGAAGGGCTATGGGCACAACATGAGCCCAGTGAGGCTACGGACGGGCAGCAACCTGCACAAACATGCAGCCTCGGCCTGTCGCTTTGATGCTGTACTCTCCCGGGACTTCCATCAGCCGGTCCTCCTGGTACAGCAACCTGTTGTGCTGATTCACTACAAACTCCTGCTTGTATCCACCGGCCGATGACACAACCACTGTACTTTCACCCTCCGGGCTGAAGATAGTGGCGCTGTACAGTGACAGAGCCTGCAGGGCCACCACTGTGTCCTGGGGGGTGCAGTGGGGGAGGCAGATCAGATCGACAAGCTCCACAAAGAAGGGACATTAATAATGTTAATGCAGAGCAAAGGTGCTGAGAGAGGAAGAGAGTGACATGCGACGGCTTGGGGTGTTTCGGCACCTGTGTGGAGGAGAAGCCGCCGTATGGGTTCTGCTGCAGGCTCAGCCAGCGCACGATGCTGGATGCGTAGGAGAGGCCAAAGTCAGGAAGCATGGGGCCAGACAGCAGCGCCAGCAGCACATAGGAGGACGTTTCCACTGCCAGGGAGTCTGTCTTTGTCCCTGACGTATCAGGCAGCTCCCAATGACATGAACCACCTAGTGACATGAACCCCCCAGTAACGTGAACCACCAAGTTACATGGACCACCCAGTGACATGAACCACCCAGTGACATGAACCAACTAATGACAATGACCACCTAGTGACATGAACCCCCCAGTAACATGAACCACCCAGTGACATGAACCACCCAGTGACATGAACCAACTAGTGACATGAACCACTAAGTTACATGGACCACCCAGTGACATGAACCAACTAGTGACATGAACCCCCCAGTAACATGAACCACCAAGTTACATGAACCACCCAGTAACATGAACCACCAAGTTACATGAACCACCCAGTAACATGAACCACCAAGTTACATGAACCACCCAGTGACATGAACCAACTAGTGACATGAACCACCCAGTGACATGAACCCCCCAGTAACATGAACCACCAAGTTACATGGACCACCCAGTGACATGAACCAACTAGTGACATGAACCACCCAGTCACAATGAACAGCTAGTGACACAAAATGGGATTTTTATTCCCAGTGAACTATCCCGCTGCTGCTTCTGGTACTTAAGACCCAAAGGACTGCAGTGAGAAGGTACCTGTGATCTTCGCCTTCTTGGCTAGATAGCTAATGAACTTGCTCCTCATCTCATGGTCCCCAGCCAGCGTGAAGGTGTATGAGAGCAGGGCAGTGAGGTAGAGGTTCTCCAGCTGGCCAGAGGCGTCTCTCAGACAAGACAAGCTCTTCTCCAGCACTACATTCTGTCCCAGAGAAGCAGAGACCAGCTGATGTATGCTTCTTCCCAGGGAAGCAGTGTTTACAGGGCTGTGACCAGATTAACCACTTCCAGTAAAAGGTCCAAACCGTGGCTACAAGCTGTCTGGGGGTCCAGCCATATTTAGCATTTGGGCAGGTCTCTTTCCATTTGGGCCTCAATATATTTGTCTGGTTACATTTCCAGAGAAATGATGTCATCATGAATCTGGATGAATTGAACTGCATTTATGTGGTCAAGCAGGGCAGTGCAGACTTTTCAAGGAGCGGCTTTTCAATCCCTCAGTTAAATTTGGGTAGCGTTTTGCAAAGTTGGTGATCACTTGGGATCCCAAAAGGGAGCAACTTTCTATCATTTGGGCAAAAGAGGCAGGTGCTCAGGCACCCCCACCCCCACCCCCATTGGCTTACCAAAACTACCCCCAGCATCATCATGTCATCTTCAGCCTGAATGCTAAGCAATCGGAATCTATATGATACATCATACATGTATATATATACTGTATATTTCACACAAACTGAAGCTATATAATACATGTATATACTGTATATTTCACACAAACTGAAGCTATATAATACATGTATATACTGTATATTTCACACAAACTGAAGCTATATAATATATGTATATACCGTATATTTCAGAAAAGTATCTGGACACTAATCTCTTGCTGCTGTTTTTCTTGATTCTAAATTCAAGGGATTCAGAAAGGACTCAGACCGCTTCATTTTTGATATTTTGTTATATGCAGCCTTAGGACTGGTTTTACTTCACACGTAAGCGGGCACCATGCTACTGTGCTTTCTGTTCACATTCACTGGCCAGGCAACTGTGCATTTTTTTTTTTTTTTTTTGCTAATCTGTCGACCAGTGTTGCCTTGTTTGTGCAAACAAGGGCCGGTCAATCCTATAGGCAACATAGGCGGCTGCTTAGGATACCGACTTCTGAGGGGGCGCCAACTCACCAGCCAATTCAACTGCTCCAAAATAATCTATAGTGACTGTGTGATCAGTAATGTTTAATAACACACAGGTGCTGTACCACAGTTCATCATCACATTACTCAGGAACATGTTCCACTAAGCCTGAGAACCAGAGTGAAGCTATAATACTTGATTGTCTCTATTTTAACTGTATGTCCATCCTTTTATAATTTACAACCTACCCAATATTTTTTGTTAAATGTTTTGCTTAAAAAGTGTGCTTAAGGTATCTATATTCCACACAAGCAATTTTGTTTGACATTTTGTAGTGCAACTCAATAAAATGAAGACAATATTAAGCATAGCTTAAGTGTCCAGATACTTTTTGGGGACTGTTTGCTCTATCGACAATCACAAAACCAATAAAGCAATACTAAGGGTGTTAGACCACTCACAGAGGCGTTTCGGTCTATCTCAAGAAGAGCAGCAGTGATGTAGGCAGTCAGAGACACTTCATCGCTGACTCCACCCTGAAACAGAGTTTATAAAGCTGTGTGCAGGAAGTCACGGTAAACATACTACATACATTCCTGAACTGCAGACATCTGCAGATAATACTGAACCATTAAGCATAATATTCAAGGAAATCAAGAGCAAAGTACTGATATGACAGAAGCTCACTGTGGCAGGAGTATGCTGGAAGAAACAGAGTTTATAGAAAACTATAAGAAAATAAGTATCCTAAATTCCAACGATGAGGACATCAAGACAATTACATTCATAATGTGTGAAATTGGATGGATAGATGGTGTTTTACCTTCATAATGTATGAAATAGGATGGCTAGATGGTGTTTTACCTTCATAGTGTGTGAAATAGGATGGCTAGATGGTGTTTTACCTTCATAGTGTGTGAAATAGGATGGCTAGATGGTGTTTTACCTTC